AAATACAAGTTTATATAAAGTTGAGCCGACCCCACCTAGTGAGATAAAGGTATATTGTTGTTGTTTTTGCAAGTATAAAACATTTAACAAAAGATTTTTTTTAATTTTTATTTGAGGTGTAGACTCAAACAAAAAAAGCACAAGCCTCGTTTAGAAAATAAAAGTGTATGCTAACTCATGTTTAAATATGCAAGGAAGAATGCACCTAAAATGCCTTTTTAAACCATACTTCGGACACAATTAATCAAGGAAATGCATGTAGGATGTACATCAACTCATACATGACATGAAGCAATGATACAATTGAAGGCAAAGTTCAATCAACTGGCCAAAACTTAGTACGGATGTTTGTCGACATGTCAAACCATGTCATATGTACCAAACTTTCAATGGAACAACATAAAACACCAATATATATGCTACATTGCTAATGCTAGATTCCATTTGGAAAAATCCTAGTATTGATTTTGTTTTTGGATTGCAGTAAACTAAGCCGGTGTCAATTTGGTGGTTGTAGATCAATTTTTCAAGATGATATATTTTGTGACATGCAACAATAATACATTTGATGCACTTAATATTGTCTGTCTCTTCTTTGAGAAAATTGTGTGACTACATAAATTACCTCACAGTTTTACATCAAAATGTACTGTGAACTTGTTAGTTGCTTCTGGTGAGAACTGCAACAAACACCTTCAAATCAAGTTTCATTTTAAGTTTAGCTTGCCACCCTCGATAGAACAAGCAAACCCAAGTGACATTAAGCAACATGCTTCATTGTCTTGTTGGAGAGCACCGAAACAATGGTATGAAGTTTTGGGACAATCCAAATTTGTTTACAAATCTATGGATAGCTGCTCTACAGTACAAGGTACGTTCAGCATTATTTACATTAAGCTAACTAATCAGTAACCACACTATTAATCTCATCATCATTCCTAAACCAAAATGCAAACCAACAAAAATCAATGGCTACAGAATTTGATAATATTCTCTCACATATAAAAAAGAAACTAACTTCTACTACTTTGCAGTACAAGAAGCCAGTTGATTGACATTGCTGACATAAAATTTTCATATTGGCGACTTAGGGTTTGTTTGGGACAGCTGCAATTAATTTAAAACTGATGTGTCATAGGTGTGGCATGAAGCTGTTGTGGATAAGCCGGCTATCTGTTTGTTTTTTTGTAGTTTTGAAACGGCTATGTCGTCACTGTTTCTAAGAAAATGACATTTCTACCCCTATAATATATTGTTGTTTATAATATAACTAATCTTGTTAGCACATTCCATACTTGAAAGCAAATATTCATTTCAAACATTATAAAATAAAAATAGACACCTCACAAAACAGTGAGCAACACGACAATCAAAATTAGAAAAAAAAAAACTATTACAATAACACTTAATAATATGATAATATTCTTTTTAAAATACAGTTGGTGTAAGTCAAGAGATAAGCTGTCTTCCAGGGAAACTCTCCACAACTGATCACTCTCAACGGTAGAATCCTCTAACTCATCTGCCCACCTAAAGAAGTCGCAGTTTTATCCTTCTACATCTTTATGTATTTGCATCTATGTAGCTAACTAATAAAAATCACCAATTCAGCTACTATCATATAATTATATAAACGAACACCGCGTGCAAATAAAAGTGGAGAAGCAAATAAGCATTAACAACGTCTCAACGAAAAAATAAAAAATTCAAAGCAGCATGGACAGTAGCTTGTCAAAAAGCAAATATATGTCCAACTAGAATAAAATGAAATCCAAGTGTCCCCGTTCGCATAAAAATAACATAAATAATACACCTCACGGTCATGGGTCATCGTCATGAAAAATTCTCTTTGGGTCGGGTCTTCAAGCAATTTCATAGAAAATAAATACAACAACATATCCTTATAAATTTCTGGAATTGCCTCCAAAATTCGCACAACCTGTTGAATGGACATTGCATGTGATAGGACGTGATCAGTGGTTCATGAAGTCACCAATTGTGAAATCTAACTTCTAATGAAAGCAACACATTTTTTTTTTTGTTTTTCTCAACCCTAGGAAGCTCTAATCAGCTGGTGAATTCAACTTCATTGAGGTTCGGGCTAGGGTCTTCATTCGAATCACCTGTTTGTTCAGCATCCAAGTTTTTAGCGATGCCACCAAACTCTGTCTCACTAGGAGCACATGCATTATTATCAGTTACCATGACACTACCAAACATACGGTCTAACTTATCTTCCATCTCAAGATCGATGTCACTGTATTTAAAATTTTTCACAGATGACACCACCTACAAATTCATAGGATATTTTAATGAATCTGAAAAAATTGAAAACTTGATAAACGCAATGGGCGTTTCATAAATGATCATCTTTAATCTCTATGCCCATCATTCCTCCGAAGCATAAATTGCTCGTTTTATTAGATCTCAACCCAAGCCTGTGTATCCTCGTTTCAACTCTTTTCATATTTTTTAATTTTTTTTAGTTGATATCGTTTATTTTTTAATTGCATCTTATTGTACTCTCTGCCTGTACTTTTCTTAAAATTTTTAATAATATTTTGTCAGCCCTCCTCGTTGAAATAAGTTATCGGTCTATCTCTCAGTTTGAACTCCTTGAGAGAAAGATTGCAAAATATTATTTTTGTATTTTTATCCCACAGCAGATCAATCGACTTCTTTTGTCTTAACCATTGTATTACTAACATGAAAAGAACTAATCAACATACATATTTGCCATAAAAAATATTTATCAGAACTAAAAAGAAATAGCAATGTCAAATAGTATCACCACACTAAACCCTAAACAACTTGTACACCACCTCCACGCCACACACCACCACATCCACACCGCACCACCTCCATACCACACACAGACACATCCACACACGTGACACCACTACCTCCACAGCACACACAACCACATCCACACCACACCACACACTACTTGCATACCACACACCGACACATCACCACATCCATACCACACACCACCACATCCATATTGACACATCACCACCTCCTCCACAACACCACATCCATACCACACACCACCACATCCATATTGACACATCACCACCTCCTCCACAACACACAACACTACATCCACGCCACACATCGACGTATCCACACACACATCACCACCTCCACAGCACACACCACCACATCCACACCACACCACCACCCTACAACACCACCTCCACACCACACACCAATACACCACCACCTCCACAGCACACACCACCACATCCACAACACACCACCACCCTACATCACCACCTTCATACCACACACCACCACATCCACACCAACACATCACCACCTCCACAGCACACACCATCACATCCACACCACACCACCACCCTACAACACCACCTCCATACCACACGTTGAAACATCCAAACTGACACATCACCATCTCTACAGCACCACCACTTCCACACCACACCACCACCCTACAACACCACCTTCATACCACATACCACACACCACCACATCCACACTGACACGTCCCAATCCATCATTTTGGGAAACCACCACAATCACTACCGCCACTAACAAGGGCAGTATAACACTACCACATAACTCATCTGTATTTCAATTAATTTCCACATGCAATCACGAGCAACAACTAACAACACAACACAACCATCCAAATTCAGCAACCAGACATCGAAAAGAGAAGAAAGACAATCAAACCAAAAGTATAACAGAGAGCCCAATAAAATTGCAAAATCCAATAGCACAAACCAACCCTCAGAATCCAACAGCACAAACCAATCGGATAAAGCATAGAGAACCGAAATCCCAAATACCAACATCATCAGCATAGATAAACCAAAGAAATCTGAAATTCCAACCTCACAGCACAAAAAACTGAAAACAACACAGCACAACAAAGAACCAAAAATTTCAACCGTAAGTCGAAATGCCTCAATAAAAGGTCGTAGAGAATACCATCCGAAACCAATCAAAGAATAGGGGGAAAGGCGAGCTCACCGCAATAACAACCAGCCAATGATCCATACCACACCGAAGAACAGAGAGGAGAGGGAGAGGAAAAGAGAAAGGAACTGAACCCTAGCCACGGATCGAAGAGAATCGAGAGAATCTGTGATTTTAAGGCAAAAATTGTGAGAGACAAAAGAGGGTAGAGCAGCTCAAGAGAGGGGATGAGAACAATCACAAGAGACTTGAGGGTAGGGTTGTAAACATATCGCGAAGAAAAGTAGGCTGCAGGGTCGAATCCGCAGCCTGCGTTTCAAATGGTTTTCCCATAAGAGAGGCTGCACGGCAATTTTCAAACGCTAAATGTTGTGTTTTCGCGCCACACCGCGGCTTATCCACGCCGGTTAGTGCTTGTCCATCTTGGCAAGGAAAGTTTTGCGCCATATAAAAATTGAAATATAGGAAGCTCGACGCATTTCTTATCACCAAACGCATATATAACATTGCCTATGTAGTTTTTTCCAGATTGAAGCATATCACCTGCATCCAATTTCGTGGACATAGACACCAATCATTCACTAGATGACAGTTCAACGCAATTCTTCCCAAATAGTAGAAAACTGATGCAGCTCGTAGAACCTCTACTCTACAAATCCTCTTCATTTGCTATTTTAAGGTATTAAAAGTTTTGTTTCTCAGTTATCTAGTATATGTGCTGAAGTAGCACTAATCACTTTCACCATGTAAATAGGTATAAGCAGCACTAATTACTATCACTAGACGCGCTAACTATCCGGTCCTACAACTATTAGTTGTATAGGACATCTTTTGGTTGCGGCTTCTGTCAAGAGTTGCCATTGGAAATCGAAAAACAGAAGATAAACATCTCCTGCATCCTGCATCCTGCATCCTGGCAATGACCTCTACGCCAAATTAGATCCGAAGCATGTCCATTATATAACTCTAACCAAACCACAAAACCAGAGGCCGAATTCAACTGGCAATTAATCAGCAAAACGGTGAGAGATAATCATGCTGTGTAAGAAGAATACCTGCTAACACAAGATAGACGAACGAGATCAGAAGACGATAGGTGCTCAAGAATGACGCATATCAGCTCGTCAGGCAGGACGCTGAGGTGTCCGAGAGCATCGGGCCGCCGATCTCGCGGCTGCCGCGTTTGGTCCATGCGGCGAAGGTTGTTCGGACCAGAGAAGCCGTAAGTCGAATCCAGAAGAAAAATTAACGTTAATTACAAAGCTAGACGGACATGAAAGGAGTTTTATCTGCGTCGCTTAGACGCGCAGATGGCGCGTGATGAACTCGGCGAAATGGAGTTAAACCCCGTTTGCGGGAAAAAATAGGCGAAAACGCCGAGAAAATAACACACATAATAACACCTAAATAACACAGGAAATATCCCGACAGAGAAAAAACGGCGCAGTAATACGGGAGAATATTCTCTCCCGTGTTATTCATGTGTTATTGTGTGTTATTCATGTGTTATTGATGTGTTATTGTGTTATTATAACACCAGGAATATTCTCAGGACACAATAACATATGAATAACACACAATAACACATCAATAACGCGAGAGGGAATTATTATAACCCAAGGAATATTCCCAGGACACAATAACATATGAATAACACACAATAACACATCAATAACGCGAGAGGGAATATTCCCCGTGTTACTACGCCGTTTTTTTTTCTTTATCGCGCGGGTGTCTGATTGCATTGGCTACACACGTTTCTTTACGTGCGTAGTACTGATGTAATATTTTTTTCCCATTTGTCGTGTTGTAAAGGCGGGGCATGCGAAAGGTTAGTAAAAACAGAAAAAATATTTCATCAGCAGTCTTCGATATGTGAATATATGGAGGTAAAAGAAAAATAAAAAAAAAATATTTTAGCATAATAGAATATTCCTCTCGTATTATTTTGTATTATTCATGTGTCATTGTGGTGGTATTCATGTGTTATTGTGTTCTGGGAATATTTTAGTTATAATAACACAATAATGCATGAATACCACCACAATAACACCTGAATAACGTGGAATAACACAGGAGAAATATTTTCTTGTGTTACTGGGTCGGATCACAAGAAAGCGCGGGTATTTCCTTAAAGTCACGTGTCTACATATCAGTGGACTACGAACGTAGCTCTATATTCGGAGCCCTGATGTAATATTTTTCCCCAAGCTTAAGAGGGCTACCAAAGCTCAAAAAAAAACTTGATTTCTTTAAGATAATATAAGCAAAAAGTATTAAATATTAGAGAAATTTGCATGTATACCACATAATTCTTATATTTTTATATATCTAACATCTAAAATTTATTATTTACAATTATAACACTATGTACCATGTAAAATTTATAATTTACATCCATAACACTGATGTCATAAACATGCATAAAAATGCGTACTTAAGTTTTGAAATATTAGTTGAATGTTAAATATTTGAGTTTTATGTATGTAAATATGAAAAATTAAGGGCTAGGTATGTAAATAGATAAAAAATCTGTGGCATGTATGTAAATGCCCCTATATTATAATTATAACTTGAAATATATTTCATGTGATGATCATTTGATTCTTTGAAAAAAAAAAAATTTCGGTCATTAAAATTAAAATTAAAATATTGTGATTAAATTATAATTAAGATCAACCATATATTCATTAGATTTATTTTGAAATATATATAATATATGTATGATCAAACTACATTGAACTAAATCAAACAGTCTTTGACAGAACACGTGTCAGGGTCAATGTCAGCGAGCATCAACAGTTATTAGTTCGCACGAAGCGGATGATCCAGTTGACCGGGCCAAAAATGTCAACTGAATGAACAAAAGAATAACTCACTAATCTAAGAGTAAGTGAGATCGAAATTCAACAAATAACAATTCGACCATGATAAAAGTTATCTTAACAGTTACGGCAGCTGCCGACAATAAAGAAATTTAAGGGCATTATAGATATTTCACAATGTAACTCCTACCCAGTATAAATATAAAAATAATGACATGTAAAGAGAGGACATTTTTGTAAATGGCACGGCAATGTATTACGGACACTTCTAATGCTCTTTAAGTCCCTCTTTTTCTCTCTTTTTTTTTTCTTTCCCTCCTTATTTATGATTTATACATTAAGTGACACTCACACACAAATCTGGGTTCAATGCTCTGAAATATGTGGTGAGCGTGAAATCATATCACAAACAAGATGAGAAGCAACTCAAAGAGAAGATCTCCCACATTAGGGAAATTCCCCGACAACATGAACTGCACCTATGAGTTTATGACTCAACATATCCATGAACTCAATGAGCAAATGATGGAGGCAATCAAAAGCTCACTCACCTAAAAAAAATTGCAAGTACCATGACAAGCAACATCTCATCACCCGAGAAGGACAGACATCATGAATGTTGTAAAGATCTCTCTTGTCTTCAAACCAGAACTAATACCCCAACAACACAAAGTATGCATCTCTCAACTATTACAAACATGAGGACATGGAAGTACTACAACCCGTTGTAAGCCTCTTTTTATCTTATTTAATTTTGAAAATAATATTTAATTTAATATACATATAATTTTGATTTTTTGAAAATAATATTTTGATTTTTAAAAAATGAGCCCAAAAAGATCTCACACATTTAATAGTTTAAATAGTCGAGCACCACATCACAAGCAATACACCTATCACAGGGAATAAACGTATTTCTTATTAGCGGGGTTCGTACATAAACTAAAGAAATTGTATCATTTGTTTGATCTGCAAACCTTTTATATGTATGACGGACATGTTTTCCTACATAATATAAGAATTAGATGATGTTTATATTGTTTGGGTTATTTAGTTCCCTATAACAGCATACCCATATAGTTAATTACATCTCCATAGTCATTTAAGAAAACCTTCGATAATGATCGGAAGCATTTATCTTCAAGATTTTAAAGTTAAGTTTTCAAAGTTGGACATAGGGAAATCAAATGGGAGTGGATCAAATAGAAGCAATTATTTTAGGAATCCAAATGAAAGAAGAAGTAGGGAATGTCACCAATCTTGAGGAAAACCTCAACGACTTCAGAAACTATCCTAATGTTTGACTTCAAATTTGAAGAAGATGTTATTTTAATGTTTCAATCTTGTAGATTTTATTACTTTGGTCTTATATTTGCATGATATCTAACCATGCAAAAAGCTTGGAAGAAATGGAAATTTATTTCATATCAAATGACGGCCCCGAAATCCTAAAAAATTTAGGGTTTATATTGCACAATACGACTGTGCAAAAGTCTTAAGATGAGGTGAGGATTTATGTCACACTGAGCAAACAACCTCAAAATCATATGGTTTGTTGTTTAAACTACAAAAGATTTAGCTGAAAGTAAACATTGTATGCTTTCTCGAGGATGCTCTTCTGTGCCTTGTGACCACGCTGTGCTGCCCACAAAGTTTGCTCCAAGCTCCTCATTGTAGTGGTAACTTTAAGGTTTGCAGTTTATATGTCACACTTTGTTACTGTTAGATTCTATTATTTAAGTGTTTTGGGGAATTTTAACAAGTTAAGTGACTGATGCCTGATCCGTAATTACGTAGTTTTTAAGCTAAAAAATATAGCAAAAAACTTGACCAAATTTATATTAAGCGGCTAGTGTGCAAAATAATATGTTATAGAATTTAGAAATTAATTTATAATTTACTATGGGTACTACGCAAGTATACATATCATTTCTAGTAATATAGGGTTTTCTTTAAAAACATCAGTGTCGATCTCACAGAGAAGCAAAATAAGAATTCCCTCAGGCTAATTATATTCTACTACTATCAGGTCTTAGTTTGGAATTTTAAAAAAATTTGATTTTCTTAAATTTTCTACTTTACTCCAAAATTAAAATTAATTAAATAAAATAAAAATCTAATATATGAAGGCTGGTTAAAGTTTGTAAAGTTCTTATATAATCAAAATTTCCTTTTCCCTTGCGATGAGAACATAATTAGCATATAAATCAAATGTTTAAAGGTTAAAATGTAGTTTTGTGACAAATAGAAGTATACATATTCTTTACTCTCTTCCGAACACATAAAAAAAAGTTAGTTATTCTAAAGTTAAGCTCCTAATTCTCCAGGTCATGCTGGGTTGGTTCTAGTCTCTCACTTCCTGATCACACACTGCACCCTCTCTATAAGACTAACCTTTAGATTCTAAACTAAAGATCGATTTGGTTAAGGTTCTAGCCTATCACCCTCACAAATCTTTCGCCCATGAAAACTTATCTCCCTATCTATTTGTACTGACACATGGATTACCTTCTCACCCACATAATTAATGTGATTCTTACAAGTTAAGGAACACATAGCCCTCTCAGGTCATTATGGATTCACAACTTGTTTTAACATACTAATTGATCAGGTTGAATATCTAAATTAAGTAAGAAGTAATGAATCATCTCAAGTATGGAATAAAAGAAATCTTTAACAATTTTAATTATAGACATGATTAATTCTCATCACAATGAGAAAGAGTAAGGAAGACTACTCACTAAGTGTGGAGAAAATACATGAATTCTTCATTGCAAATGACATTAAAAACACAAAAATATATTTTAATAATTCAAAGTAAATATAAAAAAAATTCAAGACTTATATTTACAGAAGAATCACGTCCTCCTTGCACATCAAATATTAATCCCTTACACTTCTTCCACAGTCCTGAAAGTCACCAACACTCCAAAAGACACTTCACCTCACACACACACACACACACACCTCCTTGAAGAGGCACACAAAACTCCTCTCCAAATCCCTCCTAAACTTTTCTTAACACTCTCCCATGAGAGACGTCAGCCTCTCTTTTTAAAGAAAAACCAAACACCTCATTCTAAGAGGCACATCTCTTAACTCCAAAAGACACATTTTCACTCCAATAGACATACATCTTCATCGCAAAAGATGTGAAATGCCCAAAGGTGCATTTTCAAATGTCTGGATTCATTGCATAACTCTTTGGAGCGCGCATAGCTACCTGTAATCTTCCAGAACAGTCTGAAATTGCCCAAAACCGCCCCTAAACCATTTATGACACCTAGGCACCAGGATGCGGCGCTTAAGCACCACTTTCTGGGCAAGGCTGGTGACTAGGCACCACTTTTTGGGGCTTAGGCACCACTCTGTTGACAACACCTCCGTTTTGCCCCGTTTCAGCTCCAATCCACTCCAAGTGTTATATCTACAAGATAAACATGAATATAATCTTTCTTTAAATTACAATTTCATCAAAAATAGGTGATAAATGTAAAGGAGATTAAACGTAGAAAGATATATAAAATTACATCTGATCAGA